TTTTAAGTATTTTTTATGTTTAATTACATTTATATCAAAAATTGCTAGGAACTAAAGCGATTAAGATAGATCTAGCTGTCCTTTACATCCATAAACGTTATATGTCAGTGGAACAAATGGAGTGAGCTTTGAGCGTTGCACGATTTTTGGAGACTGTCTATACGCGGGCTTCCTAAACAAGCCTATATGTATGTTTGTCCAAGATATTTTTGGATGAAATACAAACCGCACAACTTCAAAATCGCATAAAAATAATCCGCATAAAAAGAGACCTTACAGTATTGACCTTTCCATTTAGCTCCAAGAGCCTAAATATCAAAATTATTAACAAGTATCTTATTACTAACTATATACTAATCAATCCTAGATTCCAGTAAAATAAACCGAGATTCCATAGTGTTCTTATCAAATTTATCTATCACCCGTTGTACATTATCACCATTTAATAGTTTATCGGCTTTTTAATTTAATAATTCAAATTTTTGTTCGATGGTACTGTTGACAATAAGATTTATAATGCGTTCAATGCAGTTAGTTATGTAATCTGCATGACATTTAGTGCCTAGTAATGCACGCTTATTGTCCGTTATATACCCTTTGACCTCATCAAGTATATTAAAAGCTGCCGAGCGTATGTTACCTGGGGTGTTACAATGCTGTTCTGCCATGATAACACGAGAAATATAGCCTTAGGCAGAGACACATAGTGTCCGAGACAAAGAATAAAACGAATCTCAAAAGAAAAGCTTACTCAATAAGGTGAATGTTATGAAGAAGAATAGTACACAGCTCCAGGTCAGATGTCCACCGTTACAGGAGTCAGCACACAAATCTGTGATGTGGTAAAGTACATGCGTAGGGGACCAGAAATTTTCCAGAAATTCTGTGGAAAGCAAAGTCAGGGTACTGACGAATGTCAAGATATACAAAAAGAACCAAACTGTAGGAAGTGAAGAGTTCGAAGAAGTAAGAACACCGTAAGAACAAGCGACAACAGTTAATAAGGGTGAGCGCAAGCTCCCCAATTAAACTTGTCCTGATTGAACATTTGCATACTCACACGTAATCCTGCTCGTCGTAGTAGGTACAGGTGACCGATGGTGGTGCTTGGCGGGATCATTGACCCCGCCAAACGTCACCGTCCGTCTACTAAAGTGAATAAATACACGTAAAACGCTTCTCTCCCGTGTGAGTTTGCAAATGTTCAATAAGGACGTGTTTGATTGTAAATCTTACTTTGCAATGATCACAGGTAAACAGCCCTTCTCCAGTGTGAATCCTTTGATGATATTTTAATTGTACTTCCAACCGAATTCTTTCTTGCAACTGTCACATATGCAAGAATTGTACTTCCTTGTAACTACTATATTATAGTATTTAATTTTAAAGTATTGTTATAGTTTTGGGTGCAGATAGCAGAAAAAGGAAAATTTTTTTTCTAAATTTCTTTAAACTAGAATTCAGAGTATACAAACAACTCGAAAGACATCATCACAGCATACACACAACTTCTTACATCAATCTTTTCACAAATACTATCACAAATAAATGTAATTTACACACTTATTTCTAAAAACAATTTATACAAAGGGTTTTTGTAAGAAAATCTTTCAGAAAATAATTTAAAATATCTTCATTCATTTTTTCTCTTTCCCTTCATTTGCATGAAATGCTTTCTTTTTTTTTGAAAGTATATTTTTATAAACTTTCTCATCACTCTTCAATTTTAGTATTCTGTAAACAGGAAATTTAAACAAAACACATTCACTCATCTTGTGTTATCACGGAACAATTCTTCGGTTATTACGTAGAAATTCCCTCCATTGGTGGAGAATGAACCTGCAAATAAAAAGTTCTCTGTAACACAAAAAAAAAACGAGAATGACGTCCATCATTATTATCTAAATCAAATTAAATATTTTAACATTAATTAATAAACTAATAATAGAGAGGTTGAGGCACAAGTTCAAACGTTAAACGTGTACGGGTAGCAGAAGTA